GGTCATACCAAAGATGGACGTTACAGGCCAAAAATAAAATTAAAAAGTGATCCAGAATGTTAGACTGAGGTATGGCATCAGATTGTGGTGCAAAAACTGAGGACTCCATGCTGAATGGTCCTCCATGAAATCTGCTGGACATGAGTCATGGTTGATAAAGCTCACTCAGACCCAGGGAAGCGGCCTAGCAAGAAAAAGAGAAGTAAACTGGTCTTAGAAGCACTGGTTTCCCGGCCCTGAGAGGAAAAAACCCTGGGATGCGTGTGTGCCACGGGACTACAGTCTGATCCCTAGGACTATCCAAGGAGCTTGTTGCCCATTATCACCACTGAGTTGCCCAGCGTTTTCCCGTGACAGCCTATCAACTCCCAGTCCCATGGATTACCTGAGCAGTCGTTACTAATGTACTGCTAAGGCAGCTTGTCTCTGCTCCCAGCTTGCAGTATCTTTCCAAAGCACCGTTTTCTTTGTGTCATAGCTTCACTGCAGAATCGCCTAAAACCGTTTGTTTCTCTCAGATTAAATTCCACTGTCTTAGGGGCCAGCCATGGTTTGGTGGTTAAGGTACAGGACTCCTATATGGCCAACCATGGTTTGAGTCTCAGATGTACATGCGTGTGCATGTCCAAAATCCAGAGAGGAAAAGCGGGAGAAGGGATTTCAGCATGGTCACCACCCCTGGGGAGTGATTTTTTTTACTTTCTCTCTTTCTCCTCTCTGGTGAGTATATATGCCCTATGACAAAAACCTAAAAAAATTTTAGAAATTTCACTTCTTTAGTTGGCATTTAGAAATTGTTATTAACTGACCAATAACTTATACTCTTCCAAGAATATAACTTCTGCCCCACGGGGATCATTGCCATCTTTCAAATATGTTGTGTAAAACTAGACTGTTCAGGGCCCAGCAGATGGTGTAATGGTTACATCAATGGATTCCCACATAGTTGACCACAGTTCGAGTCCCAGATCCGGTGGCTTAAAACTCATTCCAGGTGCGTGTGTGTTCGTGCCCCAAATCCCAAGATGAGAATGGTGGAGAAGGGATTGCAGCGTGGCCATTCCCCCTGGGGGTGATTTCATGCTCTCTGTCTCTCTCTGGCTAGCACATACATATGCCCTATAATAAAAATATCTCTTAAAGAAAACTAGACCGTTCGTATCTCTTCTTGACATTAACATTTAAATTTTCTTCTTCTTGAAGCCTTCTTAACCTTCACTTTTCTTCTGTTTCCTTTCTCTTTATTGATTCCCTTTCTCCCTGTTTTGTTCGTCTGACTTGTATGTTGCCCTTTCAAAGCGATTATGTATCTTTAAAGGCAGAGACATACATTTCCATTCCTTAAATATGCCGCTATAAAGTGAGTGAGTCGGTCCGGTAGCGCAGTGGTTCAGCACTGCGTATAGAGAACTGGATCCCAGCCGGGCCACCTTTCTCTCTAGCGAACACCCTCTAGCCCACAAAAAGTGGAGAGTGAAACTTTCTTTTAGCTTTTATTTGACCACTTGTGTAATGTTTCGAAAGGTCTGCGGCTTTATAATGGTGGAAAAGATAATCATTCATCCGACTGTTCATTTAGTAAAATGTAACAGAGATAAAGATGGTCTCCTTCCTGGAAGTTCTGGAGATTGTTTGTTATGACTTCCGAAGATATTAGGTACTTAAATAATTTTAATGGTTTGTACACAGTCTGCACTGTGACTTAGTAGACAGAAGTAGACAGTATCTTTATTGATACTAAACTTGTCGTTCTAAATAAGAATTTTTTCTAATATGAAGATAACTTCTTATGAAATACATGAACCTATGGGGCCAGCCGGTGGCGTGGTGGCTGATGCACTGGGCTCCCACATGGCCGACTGTGATCTGAGTCCTGGGCAGCGCTCTCTCTCTCTCTCTCTCTCTCTCTCTCTCCTCTCTGGTGAGTGTGCATGCCCTATAGCAAATTAAAATAATAATATGTAAAATTAAATAATGTAAAAAAGGTGGAAATCTGATCATGTAGTTGAAGTACGTTCTCTCATCACTTAAAAAGTCATTCGAATTGTAAATTTCACATATAATTGAAATGTGTGAGCACATATCAGAAGGCTTCAAAAAGTTCATGAAAATATGTATTTAAAAAAGAAATATGTGGAAATGTAATTTTTCTACTGCTGATTGACTTTTAAATTGCCAGAGTCCCTGGAAATGTTTGATGGTACCCACAAAGAGGTTTGCTGACCAGTCAATTCTCCTCCAGGACTTTATCCCTAGAAATTTTTCCTGGATATTTCTTTTTTTCTTTCTTTTAAGTTTGTTTATTTTATTCATGATAGCATATGTAAATGTGCTGGTGAGAGAGAGAGAAAAGCATCCTCAACAGGGGCTCTTCACGCCATGATCCCTTTTCCCAACTCTCCAGCTCCTCGGGATCTTGGGCACACATGCTTGTGCCTCCCATGTTTTCAGGCCAACCAGAGAATTTGAACCTGTAGTCAGTTATGTGGATTCCAGAGCTGCAGCGTATATTACAGCTGGCTACACCACCAGTCTGGGCCTATTTGTAGATACTCCTAAATACTTTCAAGGCTATTTTGTATCCTTGTTCTATAATGCTAAAAGACTAGAAATCATTGGATTATCCAGTCATACGAAATTGTTTAATTATGTTAGTCTACAAATATTTATGGATATATATGGTTTAGGAAGCATGTTTACTAAAAATGGTCATATAGAATAGTAACATAGGAAATCTGCCCTGATATATTAATAAGTAAAGATCAGATTACAAAATAAAGAACAGATCATGGAATAGCACATGTATGATATAATCCATTTTTTTTTTTTTTACCAAAAAGGTGTTGTTACATAAGCAAACAGTTTTGACAATATTTTTTAGTTGTATCTTCCAGTTTTATAGTAACTATTGAAATATTTAGCAAATGGCTCCCATGTTGGGCCAGCTGGTGGTGTGGTGATTGAAGTGGCTGGACCCCACACGGCCGACTATGTACTTTGGTCCTGGACCCAGCAGCTTAAAAAACATCAGGCGCATGTGCATATGTGCCCAAAATCCTGAGGGGAGAAGGGTGAAGAAGGGATTGTGGGGTGGTTTTCCCCCGGGGAGGTGCTTTCTCACTTCCCGCTCTCTCTCTCTCTGCCTCTTTCCTGCTAGCACACCTGCTCCATAGCGAAACTGGGACCAGCAGATGGTGCACTGCTATGTCGCTGAAGTCCCACATGGCTGACGGCGGTTTGAGTCCATAGCAAACTCAAAAAAGAAAAGGCCCTTATTTATTGATAAGTAAAAAAGATCAGGTTATTGAACAACATGTATGGTATCTTTTTTTTTTTTCCAAAATCAAAATAAAATTGTATCTGTAAAAATTTTTTAAATTTGGGACCAGCAGTTGGCGTAATGGCTATGTCACTGGACTCCCACGTAGTTGACCGTGGTTCGAGTCCTGGACCCGGTGGCTTAAACTCACACCGGGCACGTGTGCGTGCGTGCCCAAGATCCCGAGAGGAGAATGGAGGAGAAGGGATTGCAGTGTGGCCATCCCCCCTGGGGGGTGATTTCTCGCTTTCTGTCTCTCTGTTTTTCTGGCAAGCACATGCTCCCTATAGCAAAACAAACAAACAAAAACCTCTCCCCTCCAAAAAAATTTTAATTCTGTATTCTAAATTGTATACAACAGCTATGTTACTTTTATATTCAATAAGAATTATTTTACTAAAAAATAAATTTGCCGAAGTTAGTTCAAAGAGAAATAACAGTGGAAATTTTTTTTTATCTGCAAGGACAGGAGATCTTGAAGAAGGACAGAGACATCCTCCCTTCACTCCCATACACACATAATGTCTGTTCATCTTTTTTTTTAGAGAGGAATTTTTGCTATAGTGGGTGTGCATTCACTGGAAAGACAGAGACAGAGAGAAAGTAAAAGTGAGAAATCCCCTCCCACCCCCGTAGGCATGACCAGGCCACAATTCCTTCTCCTCCATTCTCCTCAAGATTTTGGGCACACAGGGACCAGCAGTTAGAGTAATGGCTATGTTGCTGAATTCCCATGTAGTTGACCGCGATTCGAGTCCCGGACCTGGTGGCTTAAACTCACGCTGGATGCATGTGCGTGTGTGCGCCAGATCCTGAGGGCAGAATGGAGGAGAAGAGACTGCGGCGTGGCTATCCCCCCCTGGGGGGGTGATTTCTCGCTTTCTATCTCTCTGCCTGTTTCTGTCTTTCTGGCAAGTGCACGTGCCTTGTAGCAGAAACCTCTCCAGAAAAAAAAAAAAAAAAGATTTTAGGCACACGTGCACATGCACCCCACATGAATTTAAGCCGCCAGGTCCAGGATTTGAACCGCCGTCAGCTACGCGGGAGTCCAGCGATGTAACAATTATATGATCTGCTGGTCCTCTATTAAATCTTAACTTAGGCAAAATTCAAAAGGACCATTGGTGATAACTGTACTATAGTGATCTAGAATTAGCAATCTTAGTTCTAATCTGAGCATTACTTACCACTAAATGGTTTCTTTGGGGTAGTGTTAAACGGCCTATCAGAATTTTATTTTCTTCTTTTATAAAATTAATGGATTTTGATGATTGAACTCTTAATCAAATCAATAAGCCTCTAGAGAATGTGTAGTAGACATCCAAGTATTCGTTTTCCTTCTAAGGATACCACTGGCTCAGTAATTTAATGTTCCCTATTATTGAAACTTAAGTGAAATAGGCCCTTAATAAATAGTAAGTAACATAAAATCACAAATCCTTTAAAGGGTCAGTTTAAAAATCTTCAAGCCTTTAATGATATTGTATGATTGTTTGAACATTTATTCACTTCATTCATGTGAATAGTTTAGTTATAAAATGACTAAGGTTCCGTAGAGGACAGACTATGTTTCTACCTTTTGCTTTACTTTTTCAATTTACTTTCAACATAATTAAAAGTATTTACCTTAGAAGGAGGTGTTATTTCACACAAGAAAGTTTGTTCCCTTTCTGAACTGTAGGTTGCCACGGGCCGAGCAGACATTGAGGACTTGGACCTGTATGCTACGTCTCGGGAGAGAAGGTTTCGCCTGTTCGCATCCATAGAGTGTGAGGGGCAGTTATTCATGACTCCGTACGATTTTATCTTGGCTGTTACAACAGACGAGCCCAAACGTAAGTGTATTTTTCAAATTATCTTAACAATTGCGTGAACTCTTTGTCTTATTCTGTAGCTGGGTAAAGTATGGAGCAGTGTGTCTTTAGAACAGCAGGACAACTAATGTTGTATTTCCAAAGATGTGACGCTACACAGTGTTAACCAAGCTAGTTTTCAACTCTTACTCATCTCCCTTCTCTGTTCAGAAACTGAATCATTCCCTCTTCCTCAGTGTTTCCAACTTAAATATCATCTTACTTGTCATAGTCCATCTATTCATTACTTTTTAGAATTTTTTATAGGTTTTGCCACAAGGTGTGTGCACTTGTCTGAGAGAGACAGAGAGAAAGTGAGAAATCACCCCCGCCCCGGGGGGGGGTGGGGGGAGGGCGGCCATTTCATAGTTCTTCCTCCTCCATTCTCAGGATCTGGGGCATGTACACACATCCACCTGGAGTGTTTTTCAAGCCACTGTATCCAGGGCTTGAACTGTGGAGTCCGCCATGTGGAATCTAGCATCTTAACCATCACGCCACCTCCCAGCCCCTATTTATTCTTATGTTCAACTGAACAGAGTAATTTAGAAGACTGGCTTTGAAGTTCATTCTGGACAGGAATTCCGCCTACATCTCTTCTGCATTTGTCATAGCTCCTGCCTTGTAAACAAGAGTGATTTCTCCTTTGCAGGCATTAGAGTGCTGGTTCTCAAACTTTTGGGCATTATGTACGTTCTTGTCTATTTCTTTCTTTCTTTGTTTTTTAAGATTTTTGCCATATGGTACTTGCTGGAGAAAGACTGAGAGTGATAGTGAGAAATTATCACCCCAGAGGGGATGGCCACACCATAATCCCTTCTCCTCTGTTCTCTTCTCCGGATTCTGGCACACACATACACGTGCCTGGCGTGATTTTCAAGACTCCAGGTCCAGGACTCAAACCATGGTCAGCTATGTGAGAGTCCAGTGCCTTAACCACCATGCCACCTGCTGACCATGTTCTTGTATATTTCTTAATATCTGTCTTAACTGTATTCTCATATATGCTTTTGCATTCTGTTACTTTGTTGTTTTCTGGGAAGTATATGAAGAAATCTACCCCACCAGGTGCAGGTGGTAGGAAACCTTGGGTGTATAAAAGAGGAGGTAGTTGGATGTCTCTCTTAATCCTTCATTTCATTTCACTGAAAGAAACTCATTAAAAATTAGTGTCCCAAATGATCAGTTATTTGACTTATGCCTGCTTTAAAAGTGTCACAGAGATACATTAGGTAAGATTAGGACAGTTACAGCCATGTTTTTCTCCAAAGGCCTTTCTCACTTTCCCAATCACTGCCTCTCACTGCTTCTCTCTGGTGAGTGCAGGTACCATATGGTAAAAACCTTAAAAAAAAAAAAAAGATATGTATCTGTGTGTCAGGGCCAGCAGGTGATATGTGGTTAAGGTGCTGGATCCCACAAAGCTGATTCCGCAGTTCAAGTCCTGGCCCTGGAAGCTTGAAGAACACACCAAGTATGTGCATGTATGTGTCCAAAATCCTGAAAGAAGGATGGAGGAGAAGACATTGCAATGTGGCTATCCCCACTAGGGGGTAATTTCTCTGTTTCTTTCTAGCAAGTGTATGCACCCTATATCAAAACTCTAAAAAAAAAAAAAATGTCTTTTTATAGTAATTAGGACATAAACCAGAGTCTCCTATTACAGGAGTTAATAGGAGATGGAGAATTGAAGACAGTGAGTGTAAAGGATGCTTTCAAGATATTTGGCTGCAAAAAAGAAGGAAATGAAAGGGAATAGTTGGAATGGAATTGGAAGACATGATTATGTACAATATGAACGATAATAAATTTTTTTGAGAGGTTTTTGCTATAGGGCACATGCACTCACCAGAGAGATAGAGAGACAGAAAGCGAGTAATCACCCCCCAGGGGGGATGGCCACACCACAGTTCCTTCTCCTCCATTCTCCTCTTGGGATCTTGGGCACACACACACACGCACCTGGTGTGAGTTTAAGCCACTGGGTTCAGGACTCAAGCCATGGTCAACTACATGGGAGTCCAGCAATATAGCCATTATGCCAACTGCTGGTCCCTGACCGATAATAAATTAAAAAAATAAAATAAAATAAAAAAAGATTTGGGCCAGAGACTGTGAGGGTAGCATCTAAAGGAGTGGGAATTCCCTGAGCTGAAACACGAAAGCAAGAGAGTGTGTGTGTACTGATAGCAGTGATTGGGAACTACGTAGATTAGTAGTGAGAGAAGAGGCTAGAGATTCAGTAGGACTTTTTCTTTAAAGAACTTGAGGGCTGTAATAAGGATTATACCCTCTTTATTATTTAATAAAATTTTCAAACTTATGCTAACTTAGTAATAAATACTAAAAATCCACATAGTCCCAAGTCAATGAAATAAAAATGTGTAGAGAGCTGACCCTGTAGGCTAGTGGTTAAGGGAACTAGATTCCACATGGCAGACCATGGTTTGAATCCCAATAATGGAGCCTTGAAAACACATTTGGCCTGTGCATTAGTGTACCCCAAATCCTGAGGGGATAGAGAAATGGAAGAAGAGGGATTGTGGTATGCCTAGGCCCCTCTGGCGACACCTTTCTCCTTTTTTCTCTCTTATCTCACACGAGCCCTCTGGCTATCCAGAATTTAAACTGTATAGAGTGGGGCCAGCAGGTATTGTAGTGGCCATAGCACTGGACTCCCATGCAGCTGACTGTGACTTGAGTTCAGATCTGGCGGCTTGACACTCACGCCAGGTGCATGTGCCTGTGTGTCCAAAATCCTGAGAGGAGAATGGAGAAGAAGGGGCTGTGGCATGGCCATCCATTCTGGGGGGTGATTTCTCACTTTCTGTCTCTCTGTCACTCTTTGTCTCTCCATTGAGCACACATGCCCAAAAGCAAAAATCTGTTAAAAGACAAAGAGGCTAGCAAGTGGCATGGTGGCTAAGGCACCAGACTCCCATATGGTCAACTGCAGTTCGAGTCTCAGATCTGGTGGCTTGAAACTCCGCCAGCCACATGTGTGTCCATACCCAGAATCCCGAGAGTAGAAGGGACTGCAGCACAGCTATCTCCCCTAGGAGATGGTGTTTGCTTTCTGTTTCTCTGTCCCTCCATCTCTCCGGCGAGAACTCATGCCCTATAATGAAAATCTCTCTTGGAAAAAAAAAGTATGAAATACATATATGTCTAATTATATGTAAGGTTCTTTTCTGTGTGCTAGTGGGATACCAAAACTCTATGCTCAGGAAACTTAACAGTATTTTAGGAGGACGTAAGATACAGAAACAACCAATTACGAGATTGAATGTGGTCCCTGGCACTGAGAACAGAGAAGGAAGTCACTCAGTGTCTCTGCCACTTTCAGCAGTCAGCAAGCGTCACTTCCGTGACCGAATGCGTGTGGGGGTTTCGGTCAGTTCTGCAGCAGAGATCAGCTGAGTGTGTGTCCTTTAGCCCAATGTTGGCACTGCCTGCTTGGACATGGTGTCAGATCCCACTGTCCGAGGGTTCAGCCACAAGGACAGCGCCTGCTTCAGGTGTCAGACACAGCTCTGGGCCTCTGGAACTTGCCACGGCCTGGCTACAACAGGGGCTTCCTATAACCCTCTCTTTAGGCTTGATTAATTTATCGGGGAGCTCACAACTCAGGGAAACACTAACTTAAGTTTACTGGTTTGCTGTAAAGGATATTTAAAAGGATACAAATACGGGCCAGTAGTTGGCATAGTGGTTAAGGCGCTGGATTCCCACATGGTCAACTGTGGTTCGTGTCCTGGACCCAGTGGCTTGAAACTCACACCAGGCGCATGTGCATGTGTGTCCAAGATCCTGAGAGGAGAATGGAGGAGAAAGGATTGCGGTGTGGCCATTCTCCCTGGGGGGGTGACTTCTCTCTTTCTGTTTCTGTCTGTCTCTCTGATGAGCACATGTATCCTATAGGAAAAATCTCAAGAAAATAAAAAGAAAAAAGAAAAAGAAAAGAAAAGGGAAAAGAAAGAAAGAAAAAGGAAAAAAACAAAACAAAGATACAGATGAACCACATATGAAGAAAAACATAGAGGAGGGGTGTCTGTCCTCTGGAGTTGGGGTACACCCTCCCAGCACACGGGTAGTTCTTGTTCACTTTCCTGCAAGCTTCTACAAGCTCTCTGAACCTTGTCCTTTGGGCTTTTTATGGATACTTCATTGTGTAGGTGCAAACGAGGCACACACGACTGTATAGAGACTTGCTTGGGCAAGAAGGTCTGGTCTAGCGCTGACAGACTGCGGGGATGCTCAGCACACCAGGCCCTTCCGAGTCTTCTCGGCCACCCTGTGCACCAGGCTCTCCTCCCCGTACCCGGCCCTCTTGGGAAGGAGGGTCTTTCAATCTCACATAGACAAGGTAGGGTAGAGAATTTCTTTTTGTTTTTTTCTTTTTTTGGAGAGGTTTTTGCTATAGGGCGCATGTGCTCGCCAGAAAGACAGATAAAGACAGAGAGACAGAAAGCGAGAAATCACCCTCCAGGGGGGATGGCCACGCTGCAGTCCCTTCTCCTCCATTCTCTCTCGGGATCTCGGGCACGCACGCACACGCGCCCGGCGTGAGTTTAAGCCAGTGGGTCCAGAACGCGAACCGCGGTCGACTACATGGGAGTCCAGCGACATAGCCATTATACTAACTGCTGGTTTCTAGAGAATTTCTTTACAGCCAGCTTTGAGACAGAGAGGCAGGGGAAAATTGAGAGTTCAGTTTTAGTTTCTGGCTCACCTTGGGGAAGAGAACATGTCATTTCTGTGGTCTGTCCTGGGGAGAAAGTGGAGCAGTTAAATGAGAGCAGGAGAAAGTCAGACTGTCTTGTACCTTTATCAATATGAGGCTGTTCCAGAACTATTTAAAGAACCGAGGACAAAAAGTCAAATGCTTTCATAGAAGACGTGCTTATTATCCTGGGTACTTAGGAAACGAGGGCTTTGGGGAATTTTGAGACAGGAGCTATAGCAAACAAACAAAAAAAAACCAAAATGTGTGTGTGCCAAATATCACATTGGCCTATGGTAAGTATTCAAAAAAAAATTCTTGAAGGAAAGGATTTCTTAAATCATCAAATTGATTTTGCTTCAAATTATGTAATTTTTGTAAAATTTCAATTTAAAAAGTTGTTCTTTAAATGATACACAAACACTGGAAGCCCACTGTTGGATTTTACTTTTTAAAAGTAACTTTTTTGGGGGGCGGGGCGGGGTTTGCTATAGGGTACATGTGATTGCCAGAGAGACAGAGAGACAGAAAGCGAGAAATCACCCCCTGGAGGGATGGCCATGCCACGATCCCTTTTCCTCCATTCTCCTCTCAGGATCTTGGGTGCGCATGCACACACACCCAGTGTGAGTTTAAACCACTGGGTCTGGGACTTGAACTGTGGTCAACTATGTGGGAGCGCAGCAACATAGCCACTATGCCAACTGCTGGTCCCTAGAAGTAACTTTTGATGTAATACTTTTGATAGGCATTCTAAAACCGTAGTTTCAGGGAATTAAAAAAAAAAAAAAACTGTTTTCCATTATTAAAAAAAGAAGTCGGACAGAATATTTATAACCAGAACCTTAGTAATTTCTAACCAACACTTTTGAAACATGAAAGGATAATCACAGTAGACCAAGATATTTGTAAAAAACAGTTTTGAAAGTTTGGAAATTGGAGGCTGGCAGGTGGCATGGTAGTTAAGATGCTGGACTCCCATAAGGCTGACCTTGGTTTGAGTCCCAAACCAGGCAGTTTGCCTTTTTTGCTTTCTCTGTGGTCAAATTAAAAATAATCATCACGACAAATAAAATAATTTAAAAAGAAGAAATAGCTTCAGAATAGAAACATGTCCTATAGATCGAATATTAACTCAAATACGTAAAATAAAATGTAAATTTTTTTAGAGATTTTTGCTATAGGGCCTTTGTGCTCACTGGAGAGACAGAGAGCAACAGAGACACAGAAAGTGAGAAATCACCCCCCAGGGGGGATGGCCACATCACAGTTCCTTCTCCTGCATTCTCCTCTCAGGATTGTAGGCATGCATGCACACATTCCCAGCTTGAGCTGTAAGTCGCCGGGTCCAGGACCCAAACTGTGGTCAGCTACATGGGAGTCCAGTGATGTAACCAGTATGCCACCTGATAGTCCCTGAATGTGAATGTTAATTCAGGCACATAGTGAAGTTGAGCAGACTTGTATTTACACCTCGGTACTCATTTACTAACTTCGAGGACTTGGTTGGTTATTTAATCTTCTGTTTTTCTCATTTATAAAAGTAACAACAGCCTAGGAAGATTTTTTGAGGACGGAGTGAGTCTGCTGGGCGTGGAGTGGTACCTGACACAGTGAGCGCGTCACCAGTGTCAGTGTCTGGGGTCCACATCGCTAGCGCTGGCATTCATAACTACTATTTTTCAGAGTCTTCGGTATAATTTTACGATGACATTCAACAGGAAAAAAATGCTAAGAACACTGTGTAAACATTTGCTTGATAATTACAGTTCAAATAAATGTTAGTTGAGATATATATCTCATTGTTGATTTTAATTTTGTTTTTGAGAACTAGAAAATACTCTTGTTTTACCTACATAAATAGAAGCTCAAAGGTGAATTTCCCTTCTTGAACTATTTTCATATAACAGCAAGAATTATTTTAATTTAGATTTTAAACAGTTATTACACATTTTGGACATATAAAAATATTAAAAATATAATGAACACCAGCCTGCAGCTTTTGAAATGAAATATTTCCAATAGAATTGAAATCTCTTTCCATCCAAGTTTTATTTATATATGCAGTAACTTCATATGAAATAAGGAATTTAGAAAATCAGAAAACCCTTTGAAGAACCATCTTAATGACTCTTTATTCTTTATAAAAAGTTAATAATAGTGAAAATCGTGACATTTCCGGCAGAATGAATATGTCTTTTGTGAATAATTTACCATGGAAATCTCATAAATCCTACAGAACTCAAGAGTGTCTAACTTCCTCTTCTGATAAATAGCTTTGAGCATTGCGTAAGAGCATGTACATGTACTTTTGTACAATTTTTTTCTTCTTACTGTTATAATTCAAGAAAAACAGAAGAATAAATAGTATTTACATTATTCTGTTCATTGTTAAAGGAAACTATCTTTGTGGAACGAATGCATACAGCAACATAGATTAAAGTCTAATTTATAGGCCAGTTATTTTAATCACTCGATTACATTTGTGTAAGCTGTCCTAGGTAAAAAGAAGTATGTTGTCATTATTAATACATAGAAAAGAAATCCATGAAAATCAGTTTGCCACATTTTAGAAAAATATTTCTTCCCTTTTGATCTTAAAATGAGTTTATTATATTGCCTAAAAAAAAAAAGAGAACGTTACACAGCAAGAAATACCTATCTTGTAATTTCGAATTGGATAAGTTATTAATTGCAGTTATTTTTCCACATTCTCAGGGGACTGGTTCCAGAACCTCTTAAGAATACTAAAATCCGAGGATCCACAAGTTTGTTTTGTAAAAGACATGATATTTGCATAGAACCTGCATATATCATCCTGCATATATTGAGTATCCCTTGATTACTTCTGATACCTGCTGTAGTTAAGTACTGTGTACATAGCTGCTATCCTGTACTGTTTATGTAATAATAATGCAAAGAAAAGTCTGAACACGTCCACTGCAGACACCGCCCTCATAGGCCTGCTGCACAGTGCATGTCAATAACGATGCCACATTCTCCATCCCCCATTGGTTGAACATGCGTAATGCAGAACCCAGACACAGAGGTCCAACTATCAGAAATAGCCCATTGCCAGGCAGAACAATTGTTGGCTGTCATTATTACAGTGTTGCTGAAGTAATCGTTGACCAGTTTCCTGGTACAACTGCGTTATTGGACTTAGGTAGGTAGAAACCTGGAGGTAACTCTTCAGCAGGCATTAGGTATTTCCAGCATTCAAATCCAAGCAGAGGAAATGGCACTGTATGTTGTACTTCTGTCCCATAATCATACACATTGTCTGTAAGAGCTTTGGGGTGTAAGGAAGAACCAGAAGAAAAGTGGTCCCAGACATTTCAGCTATTGCATTCTTGTTCCAGAGATGCTTCTTGGACAGCTGCTTCTGCTGTTTCCTGTAGAGTGGAAACAGGATAAGGGTTTCCCTTTCATCTCTTTCTCTTTACCCCCCATCCTTCTCCTTCATCCCAGAGAGACCTGACCTATGAGTTACATTCAGGGATCCTATCTTAGCAAAATCATGGGTAGCGCTTTAGAATATAATTTCTCCATGTTAACATTATATTTTTATACAAATATTTAATAAAAATAATTTGTACTTTTAAGCCCGTCAGATGTTTAACATGGAGTAAGTTAATACATTTTATAAACCCAGAAAGACCCATATTAAGATAACGTGAGGGCCAGCAAGAGGCATGGAGGTTAAGGCAGCTGGATCCCATGTGGCTGAGTCCAAATTTAAGTTCCAGATTCGGCAGCTTGAAAATCATGCCGGGCACATGTGCATGCATGTCCGAAATCCCAAGAAAAGATTAGAGGAAAAGGATTGTGGCATGGCCTGCCTCCCAGGGGGTAATTTTTCACACCTCTTACCCCCCTCCCCTGTCACTTGCCCTTTCTTTGGCAAGCACATGCACCATATAGGTGCATTTAAAAAAAAATAAAAATGGTAATACAATTATGGAAAAATATTTCCTATATCTTTGACATTATTTAGTATAAGCAGCTTTAAATATATGAAATAAATAGATAACACAAATAAGACAATACCTTGGATTGAAATCTTGAGGCTAAAAAATTTTTGCCTTTTGGACATAAAGTTCGGTTATGAGTTACGTTTGTGAATGCCTACTAAATATGGATAGATAATACACGAAATATTTATTATCTAATTTTTTTGTTTGTTTTATTTTAGTTGCTAAAACATGGAAGTCGCTTTCCAAACAGGTAAGGTAAAACTCTTGGTGTAAACATAAATGCATGTTCTCTTTCTCTCTCACGCTCTTGCTCTCTCTCTCAATATATATATATATATAAATATATATATTTATATATATACACACACACACACACACACAGACATTATGTATGTTAAGTACTGTGCAAATAGCTGCTATCCTGTACTGTTTATGTAATAATAATGCAAAGAAAAGTCTATACACATTCACTACAGACACTGCCCTCATAGGCAGTATACACACACACACACACACACACACACACACACACATATACAGACACATATTATATATACTTTTTTTTCACAAATTAAATTACATCAAGGTGTAATATTTTACCTCCAGTTTTTCATAAAATTAAAAGGTGAACAATTCCAAGAGGTGGTGTAGATGTGGATCAGTAGTAAATCTCATGTGCTAATGTAAACTGGTATGTTGACTTTAGAAAACAATTAGGCATTGTCTATTAAAGTTAAAGATACACATACCTATGTCTCACAATTCTATGCCTGTTTTTAAATTCTGCAACAATGCATGCACATACACCTAGTAAACTTATACTTTAATATACTTAATGATCCAATAATTTCACAGCAGTGTATAAACCTAGAAAAACTTTTTTTTTTTTTGAGACATTTTTGCTATGGGGCACATGTGCTCGCCAGAAAGACAGAAAGAGACAGAGAGACAGAAAGCCAGAAATCACCCCCCATGGGGGAATGGCCACACCGCAATCCCTTCTCCTCTAGGGATCTTGGACACGGACGCACACGCGCCCGGTGTGAGTTTAAGCCACCGGGTCCAGGACTTGAACCATGTTCTGCTACATGGGAGTCCAGTGACATAGCCATTATGCCAACTGCTGGTCCCAGCCTCCAATCTCTTCTTAAAAGGACACTGGTCATACTGTATTAGGGCCCATTCTGTTGACCTCATGTAATAAACCAAAAGGTGTCTTTTAAAAATTTGTTATCTTTTTTTTAAGTTTTCCATAGGACACGTGTGCTTACCATAGATAAACACAGAGCGAGAGAGAAAACCAGCAGGTTCCCGACTCAGACTGCAATTGGCCATGTGGGAGTCCAGCACCTCAGCTATCACAACACCTGCTCCTCCCCTGAATGATCGCTTCGAAGGTCCTCTATCAAAAGCAGTAATACTCTTTTTTTTGGAGGGGGAGAGGTTTTTTCACTGTAGGGCGTGTGCGCTTGCCAGACAGACAGAGAGAGACATAGAGACAGAAAGCGAGAAATCACCCCCCAGGGGGGATGGTCACGCCGCAATCCCTTCTCCTCTCGGGATCTTGGGCACGCACGCACACATGCCCAGTGTGATTGAAGCCACTGGGTCCGGGACGCGAACCGCGGTCGACTACATGGGAGTCCAGCGGCATAGCCATTACGCTAACTGCTGGTTCCCATAAGCAGTAATACTCTTTAGTATGCAGTTCAGTTTGGTTATACAGTACTCAGGTACTGAGGACTAGGCCTTAGCATATCACTTTAGGAGGGGAGGATACAATTCAGTTCGTAACATGTAGTATAACAAGAAAAAATAGGGAGGTGCTAAGGATTAATTCAGAAAAACATGTGAAATTACATGGATTCAGATTTAAAACAAACTTAGAAAAGTTCTGCTGGATGTAAGGTCACTAGCCAGAGTTAGTAACGTGCTTCTGCATGACCAGTAACAATTGGAAACTATCGTAGTATCAAATAAGATACATTTTAGAGGAGCAATAAGAACTTAAAAGTATATCTTACAGAAAATGAGTAAGACATTAAATTACATGTTTTAAAATTCAGGTTGGGGGCCAGCAGGTGGAGTGGTGGTCAAGGTGCTAGACTCCCACAATGGGTGACTGAGGTTCGAGTTCTGGACCTGGCCCCATGAAACTCATGCTGGGCACGTGTGTGTGTTTGAGCCCAAAATCCCAAGAGGAGAATGGAGGAGAGGGGACCATCCCCCCTGAGGGTGATATCTCACTTTTTGTGTCTGTCTCTCCAGCAAGCACACACACCTTATAGCAAAAATATCTCTTAAAAAAAAAAAAGACGGGTTAGTGGAGAAATGTATCATGTTCATAGACAGTAATAATCTCTTTCATTGATTTCCTCCAAATGTATAAATCCAATGCAACTTAAATAGTTTCCAACAAAGAGCTGACCTTTGAGTGGTAGATGGGAAAAATGGTAGACTCCTTTGAGTGTGGCACTGGGAAGCCTTCTGTGGTCTATCCTAGCACTCTGGGCTCCAGGCCAAAAGAAATGAAGATTCAGGAGAAAAAGCAGGTGAGGCCTAATATTTGCAATATGGAAGTAAAACAAAAGGCTCCTGCAGCTGATGTGTCAAGCAGTGGGAAGACGCGTGAAGGTGGCCAGGACCCCAGCAACTGCAAAAGAGGAAGAGGGTCAAGTCCCGTTACTTACAGTGTGAGAAGACCATCCAAAAGGCTCTTGCAGCCCACGTATCAAAAAGCAGCGGGAGGAGGACCAGCAGATGGTGTAATAGTTATGTCACTGGACTCCCATGTAGTAGATAGCAGTTTGAGTTCCTGTCCAAGTGTCTTAAACACACCAGTTGCATGTGTGTGCATGCCCAAAGTCCCAGTAGGAGAATGGAGGAGAAGAGTTTGTGGCCTGGCCATCCACCCTGGGAGATGATTTCTCTGTTTCTCTGACTCTCTGTCTCTCCAGAGTGTGCATGCACCCTATAGCAACAATTTCTCTTTTAAAAACAAGGGCATCAGGATGGGGCCAGCAGATGGCATAGTGATTAAGGCACTGGATTCCCACGTGGTCAACCACAGTTCAAGTCCCAGACCAAGTAGTTTGAACCTCACGCCAGACATGTATGTGCATGGCCAAAATCCTGAGAGGAGAATGGAGGACAAGGCATTGCAGCGTGGCCATCTCTCACGGGAGTGATTTCTCGCTTCTTGTCTCTCTGGCAAGTACATGTGCCCTATAGCAAAAAATCTCCCTCTAAAAAAATTTAAAAAATTAAAAAAAACTAGCAGGAAGATGATTGAAGACCCCGGGGCCCAGCCTGCTACACTAAAGCAAAAATAGCAGTGGGGGTGGGCAGCAGGTGCTGGATTCCCACATGGCCAATCACAGTTTGAGTCCTGGACCTGATGCCTTGAAACTCAGGCTGGGTACATGTGCATGTGTGCCCAAGATCCTGAGAGGAGAATGGAGGAGAGGGGATTCTGGTGTAGCCACCTCCCCTTGCCCCTGGTGGTGATTTCTTACTTTCTCTCTCTACATCTGTCTGGCAAGTGCACACACTCTATAGCAAAACAAGCAAACAAAAACAAAGAAACCCTCAAAAAAAGCAGTAAGATCAGGAAGAGCCTGCTGCAGTCCACCATGCTGGAAGGGCACCCCTCTGCCTGACTTGGATCCCTCTGCCATTAACGAGAAGACCACGGTCAGAAAGACTCCACAGTCAGAAAAACCGACAGTAAAGAAAACCACGCCAAATTTTCTGCCCCACAGAAAAAGAGCCCAACTTCTTTGGACAATCCTCCTGACCTTACTAATGGTAAAGATGGAGAAGGGACTTGCTAATTTCAAAGAAAAAACTGAAAAGAATTTAGAAGCATTGTATTGAGGGAGGGAGAGGCTACAGAAGGCAGAAACTCCTCCAGGGTCAGAGGAAGCGGAAGCTGGTAGCCATTCTCAATGCCAAGATTGAGGTGCTCAGCCCCTTAGAGGCTGTGGCAAATGCATTCAGAAACAGTGTAAGACCTTTGCCATGGCCCTGGACACCACCAGGTAAGAGCTGCCCGTTAAGTCAGTCCACCTGGAAGCTGACAGGCAGCAGGCTTTCCATGCACTGCCGATGGAACTGCAGACCACACAGCACCTTCTGACTGAGCCTGTGATAGGGAGTTTGGAAGAAAACGGGAAAATGCTGCATTTCCTGAATGAGCTGAAAGAGTTGACTTTGAGAAAAGACCAGGAGCTCTGATATATCAAGGAGATGCAGGAACTTTCTTCAGAGCCCAATTAAGAGGCAGCCTTAGCAAACCAAGAAGTCTGGAAAGAAGGACTTAGGGCCCTGCGACCACCTGCTGACACAGTGCAGTCAGGATTGTGCCTTTGGGGAATACCAGGGTGAGTGGAAGAGCCCATGCTTCTCGAGGACCGTGCAGAGGCCAGGCTCTTCAGCTGATGGTGTCCAAGACAGACAAACAGAAATGAGAAAACAAAGAACAACCAAGAAAATGGCTAGCAAAATGACAGGGATAAGTCTGCAAGTACCAGTAATAATGCTGAATGTTAATGGATTACATTTTCCTTTAAAAGAAAAGATTGGCTGAACAGATGATAAAAAAAAAACAAACGAAAGAAATTGTCTATATGCTGCTTAGAAGAAACACCTCACTGATAAACATATACATAGACTAACAGTGAAGGACTGGGAAAAATAAAAGGCTGGAGTTGAGATATTGATATTAGACAAAATAGGCTTTAAGATGATAGCTGTAAGAAAAGACAAGGACTTTCTACAGTACTAAATGGACCTGTTCACCAAGAAGATATAACACTTTAAAATGTCTTTGCAGTCAACACTGGAGCAAATAAATACATGAAAAGAGTGTTACATTTAAAGGGAGAGATAGACTGCAACACAATAATCGCTGGGGATCTCCACACCCCACTGGCTCCTCTAAACAGATCATCTAGATACAAGATCTAAATAATACCATAAGTGAAATGGACTTGACAGACATCTATAGAGTATTTCTCCCAACAACCACAAAATACGCATTTTTCTCACCCCCCCACATGGAATATTTTCGAAGACTGACCACATTATAGGGCACAAAACAGGCTTTTATAAATTCAAATGTATAGAAACTCTATCCTACATCTTTTTAGACCACAGTGGAATCAGTCTTATAATCAACTACAGACAGCACCCTTAAAATACATGGGAACTAAGCAGCCTATTCCTGAATGACTTTACCACCAATGAAGA